CAAGCCTCGAAATCTGGCGAGAGAAGGATCTCTCAAGCCTTTGTCCTCACCACAAGAACTGGGCACTTAGCATTGTTAACACAATAATTGCTAACACTTCCAAGGAAAGTCCTGCCAAAAAAACACAATATCAGAGCTAAAGAACCATCCAAATGTTCTTGTTTAAGTAGTTTAAAACATTGAAATATTTTGGTCTACACACCTTTGTAATGCTCCTTTACCATGGCTCCCAACAATAAGCAAATTAACACCAAGCTTCTCAACAGCATCACATATAGCTTCTTTAGGATTTCCAAATTCCATCACCATCTTTGGGGTAACCTAATACACAACCAAACCAGATAGTAAAAGATCGTATAACAACAACAACAAAGAATGGTTAAAGCAGGACACAAACCCCAATCTCAGCACAAATTTTGGTTCCTAAATGAAGCCGATTCAACGCAGCGTTCTTATAGTTCTCTTGCATTGAATTTATCAACTCCATCGCTGCAAAAACAGAAAGAAGAAAAGGTCAACTCAATTTCAAAATCCCATACCGAATATTCATAAACAAACAAGAAATGAAATCGCCTCCATAAGATCGATTACTAACGAGCAGCGCCATAAGAGGAAGCGTAGACGCAGCTTAGATCAAGTGGAGGTTGAGCGGTGAAGAGGATGATATCGGAATCGGAGAGAGTATCTTTGAGATACACGAGCGTCCATTTCAAAGCTTCTTTGCTGCAATCGCTTTCATCAATGGCTACCATCACTTGCTTCTTCCCGCTTTTACCTTCTTCTGCCATTGTTTCTTCAAAGTGATCAATCGTATCGTCCGATGAGAAAAATAAACGAATTGTGACTCGATTTCTGCTTTACTAGAGAAAGTCAAGAAGAAAGGAGACGGACGACGGAGCGTGGAAAGCACGTGATGATGACGTGTCGATTCATTGAGGGAACCCACGATATACTCCTACTCTTCTCTAGACTTCACTTTTATACATGGGCCTGGCCCAATTTTCGGTAGCTTGTAATATATATTCCATCAAATTCATAAAATTATAGAGAAATTCACCATCTAATAATCTTCACCTCCTCTCTAATCGAATTCAAGATTTTTGCCTACTTCAAAGTACGTACGTCGTCTCTAATC